GCTGGAGGACAGGATGCGAGGGGGGTCATACAACGCATACAGCACTGCATGGTTGAGTTCACACCCACCGGAACAAGCAGTGATCAGTGCTATTGTGCGCAAGACGACGGGCCAGGAAATCGTATTCCTATCTTTCAGGGCATTTCGTATTTGTTTTAAAGCACGCCATTGGCCAATCAAGAAGGAAAATATCTGGAGTTCGACAAAATTGAAGTAACTCGATTTCTGGCAGTAGCAAATCTATGTTAGAGGCCCATTGTTCTTGGAAGTATTCTCAGATCAGTCCCAATATTAAAATTATACTGTCATGTGTCCGGAGTTCCGTGACTCTTAATAACAGGTTCTGGACTATAAGACTGGATTTATTAACACCTTATGCCATCAACTTGCACTTACAAACAATACAGCGCTATCGTTGATTTATACAATTTACAGTTCAGCGTCACACACGCACTAGAATTCTCAGTCTTCACTAGTCGTATCCTGGTAACGGAATTAACACAATCTCACTGTGAATGAATCTTCTAATCATACATGATGTCTCACTGGCAAAGTCTAATTCCTTTCTTGTCATTGCCTGCAGCTGCCAACTCCGAAGACTCGACCCAATTCTCTTCCGACCACTCTTCTGTACTACAACTTTTGAACTCCCAATTCCAATTCTCTCATCTAATCTCTCTAACTACAAATTCTCCTTATATAACCTCGGGTCGAACCCATAGAAAACATCTTTTATTGAGTATTTTTGTGTTACCTAGCAACGTGCTGTAGCACGGTCCACAGAGAACACAGCTCCCATTGTCGCGTGTTCGCTGGAACGTGTGTACTGAGTCGCTGCCTAGCAATGAGGTCGAAACGTCACAATATTAATATCGGAAATGCATACAATAACAAAGAGACTGAAATTCCTCTCAACTTCATTGAAAACCAGTTATCATTTTAAGAGTAAGATTAAATGACCACTCATTGAAAATGTGCAGAGGCGTGGAAAAGGAAGCTGCACACACTTTCTTGTCTGTACCATACATCGACATGATATTGGTTCCACGTGCCGTCCAGCTTTACCACTCGAAGAAGAGAATCAGGACCCATTTGATATAAGGTTGGATGAGCAAATTTAGATAAAGTAAGGATTAGAAAAGTTCAAATGCATTTTCCTGGGGATTATTGATCACAATAATCCCATAATACGTACATTATAGTTTAGTTCTAAAAGTTTGTGACGATTGTACTGTCACGTGTAGGGAGCGTTGGGGTGACGAAAATAATGGGTTATAGATGGATGAATGGATTTATTGGTGTTCTTTTACAATTACACGCATGAAATAAAGTCTTCAACACGACCACTATTCAGCTGCCTTCTGAATTCTCTTCGAATGACGGTTTCTCACATCACTCTTCGACTGAATGTCCCACAAACAGCTCCACTTGCTAACACGACGAATTTTTAGGAGCCCTAGTCCCTCGAATTCTCTCTCTCCCCCTCGAAATCTCTAATTCTGGGTCTTATGTTACGACCGACGGTCAGACGGTCAGTCTGTCTCGGAATATAGCACCCATCTGAGGATTACGACCAGATCTTCATTACTGTCAGACAGTTGCGGGTTTGTTGATGTGGGGCACTCTCTCTGACGAGAGGACGGGTCTGTCGTTTACAACTGGTGCTGGAATCGACAGCGCAGTCATTCTCGTCTCCGGGTTCCCTGGGGCTTGTGGTCATATTTTACTGTCTCAAATTTGAGACTTCCTTTTCGTCGCCTCCTGCGACTCGCAGGGTTACGGTGGAGATATTCGACCCCGCCTCCACGCGGGAAGCTTATATTACTCTCTCTCTCTCTCTGAATTCTGAACCTCATCCTAAGCTGGCTTCACGTGGACTGCAAATAGAACACCATCTGTTACAGTTCCTGATAGTCTGCTTATCTGTTGCTGCAGGAACAGTGTTTACCTTGCCGTTGTCTAGTAACAGACGTCTCTTCTGACCCTACCATTCCGGCTTTCAGGCTCCATGTCACAGTATATTAATATAACTGTTGTGCTTCTAGATATTATCCATCGTCCTGTTTTTATAGGGACTAACTGTATCTATTGAGTCCAAATGAGTAGATTTGACCTGAAGATGGAAACAGAATCCTCTACGAAACATTGTGTTTTAAATCAGAATAGGATGATATTTTAAATAAATACCGGTCGATGGATAATGTCCAGAAACACAAGAGATGTACATTATACGTAGCTGTTTCTGTTCTGAGACATATGAGGTTACTTCAATCCGGAAACTGCATCAATATGTTTGACTTGTATCCAAAAGCTGCCTACTCGAAATCTAGCTGGGACATCGTGTACCCTGAGTGAAATTCTTTCCTCAGTTCTTCCAGGTAAATGTGGGCATGGTGCCTAAAAAATAGGCCACGATCCTGAGAGATTTACTGTTTTCACGGCAGTAAAATTATGAATATTAATGTCTGCTAATAAGAACCGGGATAGCATAGTCGGTATAGCGACTGGCTACAGGCTGGACGACCAAGGGATCGGAGTTCGAGTCCCGGTGGGGCAAGAATCTTCATTTCTCCGTGTTGTCCTGACGGGCTCTGGGGTTCACACAACCTCCTATCCAATGGGTACCGGATGCTACTTCCCTGGGTGGTAAAGCGGCAGGGGCTTGAATCTGACCACTTACCTCCAGCTAGCGCCGAGGTTAAGAAAATGTGGATCTATGCAGCCACTCCCCCATACGCCTTCATGGCATGGTGCTTAATTAGTTAGGCAAAGGGACAACTTTACCTTTCTTTAGTGTCTGATAATACATGATATAGTGTAGTATGCAGGGAAGTTGCGAACAATTCGGAGGAAGCTGCCGCCTCCATCTTCAGGGCAGAAGAATATTATCCTTAAGTACGAGGCAGGACGTTCTTTCGAACTGGCTTGTAACTTTCTACCAGACTACACTGAGTCACATGACTTTGACAGCTTTACCTCCAATGTTTCCAATTCTCCTGTACATTCTTTCATCCTTTTCAATCATACGCAGCAACAGAAGAATATATTTCGGTTAAAAGACTCTTAGTATATTTAATGACGATGTTTCAGCTATACAGGTTATACAGTAGAGAATGAGACGAGAAGATGTTCATGAATGGGGCATACATGTATGTGGGGCATTTCACAATGTGGTCAATTCTGCAGACTATTTATATTAAAATAGTAGGACTGATAAATTATGAATCGAAATATATCTGAAAGGAACCGGTGGTAGCCTAATCGCGTTACAAACCCTGTATTGAACTGGTGGGGCCGAGTAAAACCATCAAAATCTTCAATCTGAATCTCCGGTGTCTCGGGCCAAAATTCGAACCGAGAACCTCATGACCGTTACTCAGACCAGTACAGTATTATTGACGGTATGGAAGGAGTTCAAAGGATTTCAAAGGAATAAACTTTTAGTATTCGGTTCGATATATCGATACAAAATTACTGTATTCCTATTCGATATTCTCAAGAAATAGGGTGAACACACAGGATCTCTTAAAAGCGTTATTTTCTGGGACGCACGCCGTGTAGACTGGTAGAAGTTTACGGGTCTTTCGGAGGTATATGTTGCTTCCATCTTCAGGATCAAAGAATATGGTCTGTAAGAAAACAAGCAACCAGTAAACATCAAGGTGAGGCAAACTCCTAACCCATACTATCACACTGATGTCCGTAACAATTTCTAAGCCTTCTTACGGGCTTGCAGAAACTGAAGTAAGAAGACCCTGGGATATTTACTGACGGGGAAAGGGGAAGGGGTTTGGTGACCCTGACGCAGTATTTAACAATCACTGAGCAACAAGCCTATGTTATTGAATGACGCCTGCTCACAGCTTCTAACAAAGTGTTATGTCATTACAAGTAAATTCCCATTATCAATACAATTTTGTCATAGAGTATGTCATGGAGCTGAGCACTTCTGGAGGAACCGCCAATTCTACAGCTACTCAAGAATTTCCCAGCATTTTATCGAACCCGAAGGTTCATTACCGTGTCCACAAGAGCCCTCCACTGGTCCCTATCCTGAACCAGATCAATCCAATCCATACCATCCCATCCTTTCTCTCTAAGATCCATTTTAATATTGTTCACCCACCTACGCCTTGGTCTTCTCAGTGGTCTCTTTCCTTATGGCTATCCCACCAATCCTATACGCATTCCTCGTCTCCCCCATCCGTGCTACATGTTATGCCTCCTTGACTTTTGAATGAACAAATAACTAAAGAAAAACTCCACCGAGCGCAAACCTTTCTAATTTGCTAACAGTCGTTCAGCTGGTGAAGAAATTTACTGCCTTTCATGGAACCGGGAATTTAGGTTAACCTAACGATAACAATGATAACACAATCATGGCATTATTGTTATTATTGTCGTCATCATCATAATGGCCACGTCATAGCTCTGGCACCTAGTCACCGGGTTACCAACGCGGCGCGAGTTCCAGCTCAGGTCAGATGTGCGATCTGTTGTGGATAAATACTCCGGTTTCCCCTCCCAGTTCTTATTACACTAACTAATGCGTATTCGTTAATCATAGTATCATTGATACTGGCATCATCATCACCCTATCATCCTTGTCATCACCAGAACCTTCGTAATCCTAAGTGTCCAAAGATTTTATACACTGGTGATAAACAGATAATATGGCAGATGTCTTAACATCAATGTACGTAGAGGCGGTGATGAGTTCTAATAATTTGAATAATTAATTCACCAACTTTTGCAGTAATTAGCTCTGTGCAATGGTTATACGTAAGGATAAGACTGGGAAGGGGGACGCAGCGACGCTGCTCGAGGGGTGCAGCATCACAATAGCTCAGTGGAATAAGGGTGGCAGGGGGGAGGGCTGCATTTCCTTCTACTTCTAACTGGGTGACGGTGGGGTGGGGAGGCTTGCTTGCACACGGGACAGGTGTTACAGCGGGCACGAGGCGTACATCTGACGGCTGGTCTTGTTTTGCACCTTGCAGGCTGTGTTATGGGAAACTGAACGCCGCATACGAGGGCGAGAGAGGGGAGTCACACCAGCGGGGAGGGGAGGACTATCCTCCTTCAGCCAGCCACTGGCTACGTCACCGCCCCTACCACAAGCCAAGGGGAGAGAACCCTCGGCCAATAAGAGACGGTTATTCTTATGATGTCATCAGAAGAGGAAACCGAATGTTTCGGGTTGTATGGAGATAAACTGTTGAAGAAGGCTAAACGAACGAGACAGCGCGTGGACGCAGGAGAACCGAGGAATAGCTACTCATCAATTCCTAACTTCAGTTCGCGGCCCACTTTCCTCGGTGGAGGGTTATACGGCGCCATCTTCAGCCAGAGCCATCAGCACTTCGGTCTCTTCGGACCGGGCTTTGGGTCCGCCAAGATGCTCAACGAGCTGCTGGGTCGCCAGGTGAAACAGGCGGCAGACGCAGCGTCCACACCGGACAACATGATGACCATGGACTCGGCCAGTAGCGACGGCAAAGTCAACTACGATTGTCTGAACGCCACTTCGGTTATACGCAGGGGACTCGACGAGGACGGGAGCCCTCCCCCTCATGATATCGCGCATCACATGTTGAGAGACATTTTACAAGGTCGCAAAAAGGATCTGATGCAACTGGAGCAGGAACTGCGCGGTGTGAGTGTGAGTGGAAACAGCGGAGAGGCGAACTCGCCCGACAACAACAACAGTATAAACAACAACAACAACGAACTGAAAAACGGTGGTATAGTGAGTGCGGGGGGTGGTGATACTAGTGACACGGAGACCGGTGGAGGTGGCTGCAAGCCGCTCACAGTGAACGGGGGCGACATGAACATGGACACTTCGGATGTGAACAGCGCAGAGGACGAGGCCGCCGCTGCTGCCGCCATGGAGGAGGCGCTCAGTGAGGTTGGCGTCGTGTCTAAGCAACAGCAGGCAGAGCTCATGGAAGATGCGCTGAACAGCATGAATGGAGGCGGTGCCTCAGATTCGGAACCCTCCATGGCGTCGCCAGCGTCTGAGTCTTTGGCAAACCCTAAGGATGACGTTGATGCCGAGACGCCCGGGACCGCCGACCTGAACAAAGAGCAGGAATCACCGTGCGCACCACCTGTGGCACAGAAACCAGAGCAACTGGAGCTGAAGCGTGCGCGCGTTGAAAATATCGTGTCGTCCATGAGGTCCAGTCCGGCCCTGCCCGTCGTCAACGGCTGCAAGAAGCGCAAGCTCTACCACCCCCAGCAGCACGATAATAGTGCCGAGCGCTACAACTCCTCGGGCTATGGACTCGGGCTCGGACTTGGGCTATTGCTGGACGACGATGACGAGATGGAGCCTCCGGAAGTGCGTCAGAAGCGCGTCGAGAAGAATGCGCTTAAGAGCCAGCTGCGAACAATGCAGGAGCAGCTGGCTGAGATGCAGCAGAAGTACGTACAGCTGTGTACACGAATGGAACAAGAGTCAGACTGCCAGGACACGGAGGATGTTACCAGCGACCTGGAGCAGGACGGTAACAGTATGCCCATGCCGGACAAGCCAATCACGACGCCTGTTACGACTCCCGTCACGACGCCCATGAAAGAGGTTGTACCCTGCTCACCCATCAGTAACCAACCAGGACTTTCTCCTGCGGTGTCGAAATTGGTGTCCGCCAAATTACATCCTCATCAAAATGTCTCTCATCCACCCCCTCACCAACATCCTTTGCTCCCAACGCTGAACGGTGGTTTATCGCTCCTTCAACAGCAGCAGCAGCATCAACAACAACAGCATCAACAGCAACAGCAACCCCCTCATGGTCCTCAGCATGAATCCCACACCCAGCCCTCACTCCCACATCACCACCAGCAGCATCACCACCATCACCATGCCATCAGTAATGCGGCAGCTATGTACCTGGGCGTCAGCCACAAAATTTTCCTTGAGAATGAGGCCCGTCTCGCGAAAGACGCGGCCGTCGCGGCGGCGGTGGCGGCAGAACAGCAGCACCAACACCAGCAGCAGCAACAACAGCAGCAACAACAACAACAGCAGCAGCAACAACAACAACAGCAACAGCAGCAGCAACAACAACAGCAGCAGCAGCAACAAACACAACAGCATCCAAACCAGAGCCAACAGCAGCATGGCGGGGGCCCACCCGGTCCGCCCCAGCTGCAGGCTAACCACCCCCACCAGCCGCCACCGCCTAGCCAGCAACAGATGCCCAAGAGCTCATCCGTCTCCACGGACTTCTCCGAGCGCTTCTCTCTGTTTCGTAACAATGTGAGCGCCATGGCGCCAGTGTCCGGCTCCGATCTCGAGGGCCTGGCGGATGTGCTCAAGACAGAAATCACGGCTTCGCTCACGAATTTAATAGATTCCATCGTGGCTCGCTTCATGCAGCAGCGTCGCTTCTTGGGAAAGCAGTCAGAGGTGGCAGCGGCGGCGGCAGCAGCCGAGCAGCTCAACAAGGACCTCCTGATGGCCTCGCAGCTACTGGATCGAAAGTCGCCCCGTACAAAAGTCATAGACCGAGGGAGCACAACTGGGGGAAGTGGAGGTGGCATTGTAGGTGCCCCCAGGATAAACGGCAATGCGTTTCCAACACTCGGAATGACGCACGCAAATAATAATCCTGAAAACAACATCAACACCATGAACCTACCCCATGTGAGGCCATCGCCCACGGCGGCAATGTTTCAGCCTCCGAAGGCCCCTGGAAGCGTCAACAATTCTGCAGGGGCGGGGCTGTATTCATCTATGAGTGGTCTCGGGGGCCCTCACATGAACCCGTACTGCATGTCCGAAGGGCGTGAAGGCATGCCCGAGCAGAACGAGGCACTAAGCCTTGTGGTGACGCCCAAGAAGAAGCGTCACAAGGTGACAGACACCCGCATCACCCCTCGAACCGTGAGCCGCATTCTGGCTCAGGACGGCATGACAGTGACCACTGCGGGTCCCATGCCGGACGGAACCCCGACGAATAAGTATGGCAACCTCATGGCCTCCACAAGCGGAGGTGGTGGCGCAGGCGGCGCAGGAAGTGGAGCGGACTCACCACCACCGCGTCCGTACCATCCGCCCCCGCCACCCATCCTCCCGGTGTCTCTACCCACGTCAGTGGCCATCCCCAACCCAAGCCTGCACGAATCGCAGGTATTCTCACCCTACAGCCCGTTCTACAACGCGCACCATCAGCAGCAGCAACAGCAGCAACAACAACAGCAACAGCAGCAGCAACAGCAACAACAACAGCAACAACAACAGCAGCAACAGCAACAACACCAGCACCAACACATGGCATCCTCGAGTCCGCCGGGGGGCATTGGTGTAGGCACTGGGGACCCACGGGATTCACCGCCCCTGCCGCACCCCCCGACGCTCCTCCATCCCGCTCTCCTGGCGGCGGCGCAACACGGCGGCTCTCCGGACTACGGCCACCTGCGCGCCAGCTCCGGCATGGGGGGCGGTGCAGATAGCGTCGACCGGAACTCAGACTGCAACTCAGGGGACGGGCCGTACGACGGCATCCAACCAACAATATCCTTTAGCAATACATCCACGCAGATAACGAGTAAGTTGCAGACCTCACTATCAGTCTTGTTAAAGGTAACTTCACTGTAAATCCCACCTGAACACTGCTGCTTTCTTTGGGTTTCTCTTTCGGAGGAAAGTGATCTGGCGTGCTGTAAAATAATCCCATTTGGCTCCAGACAGACTTGTGTTGCCGTTACTTAGTGACTTCTGTTTGGCGACACCTTAATGGCGGGTGACAAAAATTCCGTTAAGTCGTTATTTCCTTGAAAGTTGTAATAAATTAATCAATTTTCGTTCTAGCTCTCATAGGAACTGTAGCCTGTAGACTGGAGACCTTGTTTCATATATAAAACTAGGAGTATCAGTCTAACACAGGTAGCGGACATGAACTAAGTGCCCGATGTCTTTAATATACAGTTAGATATCAGGCATACATGCCGACGTAAGGAAGATAGGGGAGGAATAAAAAAGATGTCATATTGAATGCACAAACAAAGATTACAGGCGGGCGACTGAACTCCTGAAAGGAATGAATTATGAATTTATGTTCTGCCGTCATCATATAGTCCGTCTTGTGCCCCACCTCTTGTTATTAGGTCGTTTCTTATTCACTGGATAGAATGCGAGGTCCCTCTGCTGCCGTGAGAAATGCAACCGCTGTGGCATATTAGTGTTTGTCTTCCCATCAAGAAAAAATCTTCATTCATTTTTATTTCCACGCCTGAGATTTTAATCTTTCGTTGGAAGGAATATACCATTTAAGATATGAAATCAGCACACCTTCTAAATCATGTACATTATGTAACTTGCTAAGACACGCAATGCCAACATATTAGAAATTAAATTTTAATTAAAAAAACAGCTATTATAAGTAGTTCCCATTTATGTAATCTGTACTGACATTGGTCTGTATACACTTAGTACTTTTATTCATAGATGAATTCAGTTCTCAGAGTACTTCGATAAATTGTAGGGGGAAAACATACTTTTACACTGTATCTGAATTATGAAAAATGTGAAAGGGAAATGAACCATAAATTATCTTCGAAACTTTTTATCTCCTAATTTTATATAATACAAATTCTTTATAATAAAATTTGCGTTATATCTGTACAGATGATTGCTTTAAAGGCCTTTCATAATATGTCATATATGAGTTACGTGGGAAATATTTTTATATTCACATGTAACATTAAAAATTTTATACCGTTTTATAAAAAGCTGCAAGTAAAGTAGTAAGTCATGGAGAAATAGGGCATATAAAGCGTGCGTGACTATGAGAGAAGTTTCATTCTTTTCCTGGCACAAACCTCGTTCTCTTCTTACTAATGGATAAACACAATTGCTACCTTACCTCTATACTTATTTATCTTTCATCAGGATTACTTTTTCAAGAATATTACTCAGAGAAGGGCTATGTCCTGTGTTTCCTTCAGAATATGTATTAAGAAACAGTTGCTAGATTGTGAGCAATGTGTCTGTTCTCGGACAAACATATTATAACTGCTCGTGGTCACAAGTCCTCTTGCATGCAGACTCTGGGCCACAGGTTGGTAGCAAAGGCATGTGCCCCTAAGAGTGACGGTCTGGAAGCAAATTACGTGGTTCGCCTATAACATTACCACTTCTAATACACTGTAGTTTCTACTACGTGAAGCGTCACGTGTCTTTATCTTTTAAGTCTGCTATACATCTGAAAACTTCAGATGTAATTCAGACACTAAGTAAAATTTACTATTCTTTCTTTAAATACTGATAATATCAAATATTATTAATATTCCAGCTTGATGTCTTCTGGGTTTTGACGCCGTGTAGTCTTGTAAGTGTAAATTTAAAGTTTCAGAGAAACATACTGCCCAATCTTAAAGGTCGGAGTGTGATAAAGATGCAAGAAAAGTGGACATTTTCTTTCTCTGACACTTAAAATCTGAAGATGGAAGCAGCATGTTCATCCGAAATGTTGGTATCCATGCACAGGACTACACGATATCACAAGCCAGAAGATTTCAATTTGTACAATCACTACAACGGATACTTCTAAACTTAAAAATAATAATATTTGTTGCTATATATAATCCCTTATATTGTCATCACCCACACTTCATATGCCTACTTATTTCCGGATATTGTGACTTTTTAAATTCTAAAATAGTCTATAAGTCTACTCTGTATCATACAATTTTTAATAACCTGTGTCTTGACCTTCATATTAGTTGCTTTATTTAATTTTATTTGGGTGTCCTATACTTCAAATAAGCATTTATTTCCAGCGAACTGTCTTTAGTATTAGACAGTAAAATGCAGATCTAGTCTATATCATATAATTTTTAGTACCCTTTGTCTTGACCTTGATGTTTGTTGCTTTAATTTATTTTTGGGTGTCCTATACTTGAAATAACTATTTATTTCCAGAAATTACCATTTATATATTTTATTATTAGACAACAGCCTGTAGGTCTACTCTGCATCATACAATTTTTAATACCCTGTGTCTTGGTTTATTTGTTCACGACAGAGCATACTGTTTGACAATGCAATCGGATTTAGATTAGGAGAAAGGGTTCTCAACGGCCGTTCGCGTGGGGCTTGCTACTTTACGGATTTCATGTTTATTTTCTGGCAGCCAAGGAATAAGCAGCTTCCGTCCGTCTTCTTGTAGGAATGAAGCTCTGTTTTTTTTCTAACAATACCTGCAGTCGTACTGCTTCGTATTTCCTACTTCTGTGCTCGTCAGAAAATCCCTTTTGTTTGGGTACATCCTCAGGCTGTCTTCTGCTCTCTGGGGCGGGTCAGCCGGAAGCCTTACCGCGGCGCAACCAGCATGAAACTCGAGATCGAAGTGACAAGACACTTGACCCTTTTCGATCTATCCTCACGATTTATAATGAAACAATTCTAATTCCATACATTCTGGTTTGTGACGCTCTGTAGTCTGGTAGATATTTACCGACATTTCGGAGGAAACTGCTCCGTCCATCCTCAGGGTAGAAAAATAGTACGGATATAGACAGAGGAAGGACCAGTCCTGTTCGGCCTAATCTTCTGCCCTGAAGACTGAAACAGCAGGTTGCTAGAAAACGTTCTATCTAACCAACTCCATGTAACTGAGTCCTTCCTGAGAAACCTCTATTCGCTCAGCTACTCAAGAATTTCCCAATGTTCTATGGAACCCGAAGGTTCACTACCGTGTTCACAAGAGCCATCCACCTGTCCCTATCCTGAGCCAGATCAATGCAGTCCATGCCATGCAATCCTATTTGTCACACTTAATTTAATATTATCCCCCCCACATAAGTCTAGGTCGTCGTATTCGTATTTTTCCTTCTGCTTCCCCACAAAAATTCTATATACATTTATTTTCTTCACCATGCATGCTGCATACCTTGCCAATCTCACACTTCTTGCCATGGTCAGTCTAATGTGCCAGATTACTTCGCGTCTCATCCCAGAAGACAGTAAACTTTTAAAATGTTTGTATTTTATAAACAAAACGTTTAACTGGGAAACCTTGTATAATAAAACTTGGGCTTTCAGCTGTACCCGATGAAGTCTGTAGTGTATTTCTGATGTGTATCATTTCAGTACGAAGACTGTAGGTATGAAGGTATTGTTCTTGTTTTCACCAAAGCTACCTGGGATAACTTTCTTGTACATGTGCATTGTGTTTAACCCTGTTCAGTATGTCGACGCAAACATTACCAGTGTTCCAATAATCGTCTTTGTTTCCCTTAACTGGTTACCACTCTTCAACCCTCACTCCGATGCACCTGCGGAAAGCCAAGCTGATGTTCTTCTGGGTGCGCTACCCCAGTTCGGCCGTCCTCAAGATGTACTTCCCTGACATCAAGTTCAACAAGAACAATACAGCTCAGCTCGTCAAGTGGTTCTCCAACTTTCGGTAAGCGATTGTTTCCACGTTTCAATTTATTAACAATCTAGCATGCATATTGTCAGGCTATTGAGCCCTGTACCAACAACTCTATTATGCAGTGCGACCAAACGGAGTTCTTAGCAGTTTATTAAGCTTACTTGAGGGCGGTTTATGAAATATGATTAACGGTTTAGGACATACATACATGAAAATGTACATTTCGGACCTTGCATAATGTGGACTTAGGGCCAATATGGCTCACAGTCCAAGGAGAACGACAATGTTTAGTGGAAGTCTCCCATGAAGAGTTAAAGAAGTTCTGGAAAGAATTAATCGCCTACTTTCCTTTGATACGACACGTACTGCACAGTAAACGACGCCTGCCTCAATTCTTCGTTGCCGTGAGAACGTCTGTGCTGAGTTATTACCTAGTAAATATAGGGTAAGGGGGTACACAAAGAGACCCACACACTCTCCTTTGAAATGACACGGACCGTTTTGAAAATGACGCCCCCAACAGTTCTATTGTTGCGTATATATTCGTTGAAGAGGTAAAATTTTTATCTAACCGTTACCTAGCAGCATACACATACAGACACACAGACTGACGGAAGGCATTTATGAAGTACACTGTTAAGATGGGCTCAGATACCATGATACACATTCCAAGTTTCATAAAGATTACTCCAGGCATTCAAAAGTTAAGGGGGATTAACAGACATACAGACAGCATGGTGATCTCATAAGCCTACTTTAGGAAAGTAAGCTAAAAATATCTGTGCAACGGTTTAGATGCGGATACTACGTAACCCAAAGACGGACGGATGGACGGACGGACGGACAGACATGACATCGACATGAGAAGTTAATAGACTACCTTAAACTTTTTTCTTTCCACCTAATTCGAAGCTATAATATAAACTCTGTAGTTGAAACATAGTTGTCGAATAATATAACAACGTTAAATATGATGTGGTCATGGTGATGACTATGAAGATGTTCTGTCTTCTGGAATGTCAGCCCCTGTAGCCTGGTATATATGTAAAATATTTCGACGTGCATTCCGTCTGCATCTTCAGGACAGACGAGCGAATACAGAGGCAAAACATTCCTCCGAAACTTCGGTACATATCTACCAGGATACACGGCGTCACATCCGAGACTCCAGCAATTTCCGAAGTACGAACCGATCCAATTCACTCACACATAGTAACAGGCTTAGGAACGCCGGCTTGCAAATTCACCGAACTTAGATTATGCATCTTATGTAGAGCTTCTATGAAGACGCCTTTTAAATGCGTAATTTAATCAATACGTTGCATATAAGACAAACAGAGTACCGCTGCCTATTGAAGCAAGTGTAGTTAGTGAATTCACGTAAGTCTGACGGAAGCAGGCATGAGAAATATTTGACGAGTCTCAATGTCCAGACATATGAACTTTGTACATGAATTTATAAACAGTTACATAGGTTCGGTGCTGTTACCTTTGTGGATGACACAGTCACGACTATAAAATGGTTAAACAAACCACGCATGCAAATATTCTAGTTTTAATCAAAAAAGCCACTCGTAGATTCCATGTGTTCGGCATATGGAACATAAGCCTCAAGCATTCATCATCAGAGCCTGGTATTTAAGACAGGAAATTAAGTAAGGAAACACTGACTTCCCCTCCCCCGCTTCGCATGGATCTGCACGCAGTCAACTAACTGATCTTCTCTCTTCTTTACAACGATATCAATACATGTTCGTAACAAATTAATTAAGAATAATTATAAAATATTCTACCCCTCTAAACTATACTGACTGGCTACAGACTGGATGAACGAACGGGTGGAGTTCGGGTCCCAGTAGAATCTAGAATTTTCTCCTTTTCACATCGCCCAGACTGGCTCTGTGGCCCACCCAGCCTTCTATCCAATGGGTACGCTGCGGCTCTTCCCCCGGAACTAAAGCGGCCGGAGCGTGAAGCTGACCATTCACCTCCAGCTAGTGCCGAGATCAAGAAACATGCACCTATACGTCCAGTAACCTAAACGCCTTCATGGCGCAGTGATTAATCAGTAATGCGCAGGGACTATCTTATCTTACGGCTCTACTGCCCTAATAGGCCTTTGCCGCTTCTTCAGTTTCTTAATCTGTACACAGTCGGCAGGACTCCTTGGAAGGGGGATCAGCCTGTCGCAAGGCCGCTACCTACACTCAGGACAACACAAACCTAGAATAAAATATACACAGACATCTATGCCTCGAGTGGGATTAGAACCAATAATCCCAGTGTTCAAGCGGGCGAAGACAGTTCATGGCTGGGATCGGCAAGCGCACGGTCTACTTTACCTTTAACATACCAAGGGCATAAACCCAGTTTAGAAGCGTAGGTTTTATTGATTTCAGATTTGGCGTTTCTTTGTTATTAAAGCATGTCTGTAGCTACAGATTTCTTTGCAGTTTTCTGTACAGAAACTTCAACAAGATTAGCAAAATAAAAAGTGCATAAACGCAATTCATAAACGAACACTTCACTGGCTTCTGGTCTGCTGTTTGACTGCAGATTTCTTCCAGTAAAGCAACAGAGTACAGCAAATGGTTCGAACAATATGAACGGTGCACAGGTCCAGTCCACAATTGCAAGCATTGTTCTGTATTCATTCTGCTGTTGCCCTGTAGGGACGGAGTTGCTGTGTGGACGCCCTGACGGCGACGCACGCCGCGTGTAAGCCGCCGGTTACACAGCACACAGATTCCTATGTGCATGTCACTGTACAATCGGGTCAAACCGCAAATGAAGACTGGCTCAGTTCTAGTGAAACAGCGCATGGTCCCAGAACAATTACGTATGTTTTGTTTTATTGTTACTGGGGTGGGACTAACTCCCTTGTACTGCGGCCACTTCTGGTCTATTGTACGAGTCCCAGATGATAGGTGAGGGTGATTGTGGAGCAATTGGTGGAATGAAGATTGGCAGGGGAAACCGAAGTACTCGGAGAAAACCTGCCCCAGCGCCACTTTGTTCACCACAAATCCCACTTGACCAGACCCCGGGATCGAACCCGGGCCGCAGCGGTGGAAAACCAGCGACTAACCGCGTGAGCTACGGCGCGGCCGAATTACGTTTGAAACTATCCACTGTTTGGGCCATACTACCACAATGCCTCTATTCCCGTCTTCAGACGATCAGTGTTCATTATGGTGAGTGGTAATAGACGGGATGCAAACCTGAACACTTGCCGAGCAGATGAGTGAAGCCGTAAGGCCAGAACACTGTATTCCGGATGTCCTATTTTCATATATCAGCTGGAACACAGGCTATTCCGTGGGTTTTCGTAGTCTTACTCAGCACCTTCCGGCAAATATCGAGAATAGTTTCCCGATGAGGCCACGAACGCTTCCTTTCAGATCCCTCCAATTCAACTGTCATTCTACCCCACCGTACTGTATAGTCTGAATGCTGATAGCGTCATAACGCTCTAACAGAAAACAGGAAGGACCTGAATACTGACCTCGAATGCTGAAAAACTAGTTCAGGATTAACATTTGGAGTTTAATTCCAACTGAGTCTATAGAGCCGAGCCCTGAGCCACCAGTTGCTAAAGAATTAACCAATATTTTATGCACCAGGAAAGTTCGTTACCATGTTCGCAAGAACTCTTCAGTGTTCCCTATCCTGAGACAGATGAATTCAGTCCATACCACCCCATCTTACTTGTCCCAGACGCATTTTATTATCATGCTCCCACCTAAGTGTAAGTCTTCATAGCGGTCTCTCTTTTTCTGGCTTTCCCACTAAAACCCTGCAGGTATTGCTCTCCTCACTCACGCGTGCTACATTCCCTTCGCATCTCATTCTCCTTGACATGATCATTCTGACTCTATTTGATAAAATAGTGCCACATTACACGCGTCTGTCCCAATTGTGTTTTTTTGGATAAAAGAACACATCAGCATAAAAATTAAAATCTGAAAGTGAAATTATTTCGAATTCTGCATCCTGGATCATAGATTTAAAAATGACAGCTAATAATTTTTCTGCTGTGTTGTTGTTTTAAAACTATTCCAAGAGTTTCTGAGGATGTAGATGTTGCATTTAGGTTAAGAAATTCCTAGGATCGAATTGGGGGTACTCTTAAATGAGAGAAATTCTCAATCATCGCCTCCTGAAACTTGAAAGCAAAAGCATATATCCTAATTAACCATATTAAATTGTGTTTAGAAGCTGAAGGTTTAGCATTGCTAAGTCAAATTTGCGAGACTGAACACTTTTATGAGCAAATTGAGTACAATTAATATCAACAAAACCAATTTTCCTATCTTTCTTACTGCTCTCTCTCTCTGTCTCTTTGCTTTGGTCTCCCAAGTAGCCGCTTTCCAGAATCTCTTCTCGTTTACCACTCTCAGTTCACATGCCCAGTCCAACATTATTGTACGGGTTTAACAACTGCGTCAAAGTAAAGAGAAAAACATCAAATCCCTAAATCCCTGTATAATGGTTAATAGCTTCGACTCATGTTAATACTATTACTTATCATTGCGTTGCTTGAATTAAATTATTTTCTGTGGTGGCCACGAGAAGTTCAGAGTGACTCTCCATGTACTGTACTCCTATTATTTTTTTTTCACTGGCTCTACAGAACCCTTGAGCCCTGGCCTCTGATTTTTAGTTTCATTATTATTTTACAGACGGTAGGACTCCTTGGACGAGGGATCAGCTCGTCTCAAGGCCTATGCCTAAACACAGGACAATACGAACACGGAATAAATACATACACATGCCAATCATCCATGTCTTTCGTGGGATTCGAACCCACGATTCTAGCGTCCGAGCGAGCGAAAACAGTTCATGCCTTAGACCGCTCGGCTACCATAACCGGCATTTAATATTCTGCCCTTTATTATTGCTCAGAAGTTTTAAATTAGTGTGGAGATATGTTTCTCTTGAACGTTAATATCTGCAAGAGCGCTTTTCCACTTCTATGGTATATTAACACTCTAAAGCCCGGTGGTCGCTATATGTACCATGCACTTTCT